ACACAGCCTCTCTCTCTCTGAACACAGCCTCTCTCTCTCTGAACACAGCCTCTCTCTCTCTGAACACAGCCTCTCTCTCTCTGAACACGGCCTCTCTCTGAACACAGGCGCTCTCTCTCTGAACACAGCCTCTCTCTCTCTGAACACGGCCTCTCTCTGAACACAGCCTCTCTCTGAACACGGCCTCTCTCTGAACACGGCCTCTCTCTCTCTGAACACGGCCTCTCTCTGAACACAGCCTCTCTCTGAACACGGCCTCTCTCTGAACACGGCCTCTCTCTCTCTGAACACGGCCTCTCTCTCTCTGAACACAGCCTCTCTCTCTCTGAACACAGCCTCTCTCTGAACACAGCCTCTCTCTCTCTGAACACGGCCTCTCTCTGAACACAGCCTCTCTCTGAACACGGCCTCTCTCTGAACACGGCCTCTCTCTGAACACGGCCTCTCTCTGAACACGGCCTCTCTCTGAGCACAGGCGCTCTCTCTCTGAACACAGGCGCTCTCTCTGAACACAGCCTCTCTCTCTCTGAACACGGCCTCTCTCTGAACACGGCCTCTCTCTCTGAACACAGCCTCTCTCTCTGAACACAGCCTCTCTCTCTCTGAACACAGCCTCTCTCTCTCTGAACACAGCCTCTCTCTGAACACAGCCTCTCTCTCTCTGAACACAGCCTCTCTCTCTCTGAACACAGCCTCTCTCTCTCTGAACACAGCCTCTCTCTCTCTGAACACAGCCTCTCTCTCTCTGAACACAGCCTCTCTCTCTCTGAACACAGCCTCTCTCTCTCTCTGAACACAGCCTCTCTCTCTCTGAACACGGCCTCTCTCTGAACACGGCCTCTCTCTCTGAACACAGCCTCTCTCTCTGAACACAGCCTCTCTCTCTCTGAACACAGCCTCTCTCTCTCTGAACACAGCCTCTCTCTCTCTGAACACAGCCTCTCTCTCTCTGAACACAGCCTCTCTCTCTCTGAACACGGCCTCTCTCTGAACACGGCCTCTCTCTCTGAACACAGCCTCTCTCTCTGAACACAGCCTCTCTCTCTCTGAACACAGCCTCTCTCTCTCTGAACACAGCCTCTCTCTCTCTGAACACGGCCTCTCTCTGAACACGGCCTCTCTCTCTGAACACAGCCTCTCTCTCTGAACACAGCCTCTCTCTCTCTGAACACAGCCTCTCTCTCTCTGAACACAGCCTCTCTCTCTCTGAACACAGCCTCTCTCTCTCTGAACACAGCCTCTCTCTCTCTGAACACAGCCTCTCTCTCTCTGAACACAGCCTCTCTCTCTCTGAACACAGCCTCTCTCTCTGAACACAGCCTCTCTCTCTCTGAACACAGCCTCTCTCTGAACACGGCCTCTCTCTGAACACGGCCTCTCTCTCTCTGAACACAGCCTCTCTCTGAACACGGCCTCTCTCTGAACACGGCCTCTCTCTGAACACGGCCTCTCTCTCTCTGAACACAGCCTCTCTCTGAACACGGCCTCTCTCTGAACACGGCCTCTCTCTCTGAACACGGCCTCTCTCTCTCTGAACACAGCCTCTCTCTCTCTGAACACAGCCTCTCTCTCTGAACACAGCCTCTCTCTGAACACAGCCTCTCTCTCTCTGAACACAGCCGCTCTCTCTGAACACAGCCTCTCTCTGAACACAGCCTCTCTCTCTCTGAACACAGCCTCTCTCTCTCTGAACACAGCCTCTCTCTCTCTGAACACAGCCTCTCTCTGAACACAGCCTCTCTCTCTCTGAACACAGCCTCTCTCTGAACACGGCCTCTCTCTGAACACGGCCTCTCTCTCTCTGAACACAGCCTCTCTCTCTCTGAACACAGCCTCTCTCTGAACACGGCCTCTCTCTGAACACGGCCTCTCTCTCTGAACACGGCCTCTCTCTGAACACGGCCTCTCTCTGAACACGGCCTCTCTCTGAACACGGCCTCTCTCTGAACACAGGCGCTCTCTCTCTGAACACAGCCTCTCTCTCTCTGAACACAGCCTCTCTCTGAACACAGCCTCTCTCTCTCTGAACACAGCCTCTCTCTCTGAACACGGCCTCTCTCTGAACACAGCCTCTCTCTCTCTGAACACAGCCTCTCTCTGAACACGGCCTCTCTCTGAACACGGCCTCTCTCTCTCTGAACACAGCCTCTCTCTGAACACAGCCTCTCTCTGAACACGGCCTCTCTCTCTGAACACAGCCTCTCTCTCTCTGAACACAGCCTCTCTCTCTCTGAACACAGCCTCTCTCTCTCTGAACACAGCCTCTCTCTCTCGAACACAGCCTCTCTCTCTCTGAACACAGCCTCTCTCTCTCTGAACACAGCCTCTCTCTGAACACAGCCTCTCTCTCTCTGAACACGGCCTCTCTCTGAACACAGGCGCTCTCTCTCTGAACACAGGCGCTCTCTCTGAGCACAGCTGCGCTCTCTCTGAACACGGCCTCTCTCTGAACACGGCCTCTCTCTGAACACGGCCTCTCTCTGAACACGGCCTCTCTCTGAGCACAGGCGCTCTCTCTCTGAACACAGGCGCTCTCTCTGAGCACAGCTGCGCTCTCTCTGAACACGGCCTCTCTCTCTCTGAACACAGCCTCTCTCTCTCTGAACACAGCCTCTCTCTGAACACGGCCTCTCTCTCTCTGAACACAGCCTCTCTCTCTCTGAACACGGCCTCTCTCTCTCTGAACACAGCCTCTCTCTCTGAACACAGCCTCTCTCTCTCTGAACACAGCCTCTCTCTCTGAACACGGCCTCTCTCTGAACACAGCTGCGCTCTCTCTGAGCACAGGCGCTCTCTCTCTGAACACAGGCGCTCTCTCTCTGAACACAGGCGCTCTCTCTGAGCACAGCTGCGCTCTCTCTGAGCACAGGCGCTCTCTCTCTGAACACAGGCGCTCTCTCTCTGAACACAGCCTCTCTCTCTCTGAACACAGGCGCTCTCTCTCTGAACACAGCCTCTCTCTCTCTGAACACAGGCGCTCTCTCTGAACACAGGCGCTCTCTCTGAACACAGGCGCTCTCTCTGAGCACAGGCGCTCTCCACAGGTTTAAACATTTCTCTGACGCTGCAGACGAACAGATCAATAAAACGTTAAGGTTGTTTTGCTGCAGACTGAGACGTCGTTAATCAATAACTGAATATTTAGGTCACAGTGTAATTTATTTAAAATGGAGGAGCTGCAAATGGATCGTAAAGGTTTCCATTTCATGAGCTGCAGAGAAACATAAACACATTATTAAGCCCGAGCCCCAACTGGGGTAAGGGCCTATTGCTTTTCCAACGTTGTAACTGTCATAAGTCACAATCTCCGCGCGCTGCCCAAGCACTGATAAATCCGTGCTGAATGGCTTTGCTGCAGCTTTGCTCCTGCTGTACACAGTGAAATGATTGAAGTCCTATTAAAGGGCTGGGTTCCTTCAACTGTCTTACGGACGAATGTCCCCCAAGCACTGATAAAACAGGGCTGTTCTGAATGTCAGAACAGCGCCCCCTACAAAAGTCAGTTTACATTGGGGGTCGGAGGTCGGGGGGTCGGAGGTCCAGTTTGTTGTAAAGCCACGAAATTATTATGGCTCCGCCCCCTGACAAACAGGGAGCTCATTAATGTCAATGGGAAATGGAAACATGAAAAATGATATTTTTCACACATGTCGGTTGGAAATTATCTCCTCCTCGGCCGTTTCACAGATTTGTCTCAAAATCGCTCCACATGGTCTAAACACATGTACCATCAATTATTCAATATAGAATTTGGATCAGTTAAACGTTGTCCGAGCAGCGGAGCGGCAAAATGTGACTTTTTTTTCAATTTTTGACAAAAGTAAATTTGCTCCTGTTTGCACAAAAAAAGCCGGATTTGCACCAAATTTTTATCCATATTTCAGCTCCAGGGTCAAGGTCATTTGAAAGTGGAAATATTGAAATTGGCTCATTAGCACCCCCTACAGACTATGTTAAAGTTTTACATGGGCCTAATAAAATTTAGTTTTTTCAAAATATTTGAAATTTTGCACAATTCTGTTTTGTAATCTGGATTCAAAAAGTCAATGACAACATATGATTATATTTTACCCTGTTGCCGTGGCGACGACCAGCACTCCCCTGTCTGTGTCTATGGGAAAATCATTATGTCTCTGAAAAGAACACCTCGCTCAAACATCCAACCAGCCGCAGCCGTTTCACTAAATTGTCTGAAAATCGATCCACATGGTCTCAACACATGGACCATCAATAGTTGAATATAGAATTTGAATTAGTCAAACGGTCTGCACGTGATAGACTCCCAAAGTGTGGTTATTTTCACAGAGAGGTGTGAAGTTCCCAGGAGGTGTAAAGGTTTACATGGGGATACAGGTATTTAGGTTTTCTGTTGTTTGATCTCATATTTGACCCACTGAACAAACACGAAAACTCACCAAACTTTGCCACAAGTTTTTTTCAGGCATAAAGTGTCTTATTTGCAGCAGTAGCACCCCCTACAGACTGATTCAAGTGTTACATGGGGAGAATGAGGTTTACCTTTTCCATAGAGACACACAATCACTGATCATAGGCATTCTAAATGCACAGTGTCGCTCCCGTCACGCGCCACCTTCTTTGCGCGGTGCGGCGAGGGCCATTCGACGCCGCTTGCGGCTTTAATTATTATATTATTGTTATTACATGTTATATATTATATGTACAAAGAGGAATTTCATGAAGGTCACATAAAACACACAGTAAAAATGTGTTTGTTACTTAAGTATTTTACCATGATTTGACAAACGTAGGAAGTGGAAGAAGAACAAAGTCTTTCTGATTCATCGACGTAAAAGAGAGAAACCTTCAGTCTGATCGTTTTTAACCAAGTGTTGAGGATCGAGATCTTTGTCTCTGCGGAACATCAGAATATAGACTGTGTTCAGTGTGTATTGTGTCTAACATGACGGTAACATGTCTGTGGAGCTGGAGTTACAACATGTGTCTTATTTATTATAAAAACTTCTGAATGTTTCCTCCAGATGCCGTGGAGACAGTGGTCCGTCCCGACAGCGGCTCCTCCGTGACTGTTTTCACCGACCAATCAGGGTGCGGCGTGTGTGAGGTCACCGGGGACAACGCCACGGAGACCAGCTGCCCCCCGTCCCTCGCCCTGACCCCGGGACAGGAAGTGAGGCTGCAGCTGACGTGCTCCGAGTCCGAGTCCACAGAGACCGCCTTCTCTGCCTCCATCGCTCAGACCCTCGGTGAGACCAGGGTTTCTCTCATTTACATTTGCTCTGATTCTGATCTGAGGCTGTGCGGACTTCACAGATAAAGGACGTATTGTTGGGTCTGTGGGGTCTGTGGGGTCTGTGGGGTCTGTGGGGTCTGTGGGGTCTGTGGGGTCTGTGGGGTCTGTGGGGTCTGTGGGGTCTGTGGGGTCTGTCAGGTCTGTGGGGTCTGTGGGGTCTGTGGGGTCTGTGGGGTCTGTGGGGTCTGTGGGGTCTGTCAGGTCTGTGGGGTCTGTGGGGTCTGTGGGGTCTGTGGGGTCTGTCAGGTCTGTGGGGTCTGTGGGGTCTGTCAGGTCTGTGGGGTCTGTGTGGGGTCTGTGGGTCTGTGGGGTCTGTGAGGTCTGTGGGGTCTGTGGGGTCTGAGGGGTCTGTGGTGTCTGTGGGGTCTGTGGTGTCTGTGGGGTCTGTGAGGTCTGTGGGGTCTGTGGGGTCTGTGGGGTCTGTCAGGTCTGTGGGGTCTGTGGGGTCTGTGGGGTCTGTGGGGTCTGTGGGGTCTGGGGGTCTGTGGTGTCTGTGGGGTCTGTGGTGTCTGTGGGGTCTGTGAGGTCTGTGGGGTCTGTGGGGTCTGTGGGGTCTGTGGGGTCTCTGAGGTCTGTGGGGTCTGTGGGGTCTGTGGGGTCTGTGGTGTCTGTGGGGTCTGTGGGGTCTGTGGGGTCTCTGAGGTCTGTGGGGTCTGTGGGGTCTCTGAGGTCTGTGGGGTCTGTGGGGTCTGTGGGGTCTGTGGGGTCTGTCAGGTCTGTGGGGTCTGTGAGGTCTGTGGGGTCTGTGGTGTCTGTGGGGTCTGTGGGGTCTGTGGGGTCTGTGGGGTCTGTCAGGTCTGTGGGGTCTGTGGGGTCTGTGGGGTCTGTGGGGTCTGTCAGGTCTGTGGGGTCTGTGGGGTCTGTGGGGTCTGTGGGGTCTGTGGGGTCTGTGGGTCTGTGGGGTCTGTGGGGTCTGTGGGGTCTGTGGGGTCTGTGGGGTCTGTAGTCGTCTCCTTCTCACACATTCAGGCAGAGTGTGACGGTGTTCATAGAATCGAAGCATGTTTTGTGGTGAGAAAGAAAAATCACAAAGTCTGTAATTATTATATTCACATTATAAACTAAGAGTACAAATGATTCAGATTCATGTTTGCAGTAAAACCACTTTGGAATACTCGTGCAAAAACATCCCAGTTTGAATGCTCCTCCCTTTTAAGTTCTTTAGCAACAAAAGAGGGATTAAAACTATGCAAAAAGATCTGTTTATTTTGAAGATCTGTCAAACAAACAAACAAACACAAACAAACAAACAAGCAATTGGTAAAGGACTGTTCTAAAGACTCATCAGACAGGACTGAATATAGACTGTATATAGACTGTATATAGACTGTATATAGACTGTATATAGACTGTATACAGTCTATATACAGTCTGTATACAGACTGTATACAGACTGTATATAGACTGTATATAGGTGGTTAATAGCGAACTATCTAAATGACGTCACTAGGCCACGCCCCCGCCGCCTGTCAACTCCCGCCCACATGTTTCGGACAAACACTGCCAAAATGAATCAAATACCACTTGTCACTTTAGACGAAAATGATAAACCAGGGGCAAAATTCCACCATCAAACCATCAGGGATCATAGTGTAGACCAATTAAAACGTTGGCTTGAATGTCGTGGTCTTCCAGTAACTGGTAGAAAGTTTGATTTGATAAAAAGGTAATGGTGAGGATTATGCTAACATTATCTAGTCATTTAAATTGCAATGTTAGCGCCTTCTTTGTTTATTTTGCTCTGATTAACTTCCATTTATCAAGTTGTTTTTTGTACTGTCCATTTCGTAATTAGTTTGATCATTTAGTTAACTACAGTCAGCCGATATTATAATAGATCCATGGGGTCACAACGGGCTACACCACTACTGTCTCTGAGAGAGAAACTATCAGAGCCACACTCAGTAAACGCAAACGACAATCAATCAACATATTTAAATGTTAATGCTAGAATATAATATTCATACAACACACGTGCACAGAGGTTTTCAGAATTATCTGTTAAGGTTTTCATGACAAAAATACTTTTTTAATGCGACTAAAGCGATCGCTTTTTTAAAGTAGGTGAACTAAAACCTTTGGGAACTATTTTCTTTGCACTCATTAAATAAACCTTTCGGCATGAATAGTGACAGAAGTTTATTTTGTGTGTTCAGTTGGTACAAAGCCGTATAATAAGCGGACCCCGACGCGCTTCGTCTGTGCTTATTTTCCGATAGTCACGAAGTTGAAAAAATCCCTCTCATCTTTCTTCAGGTGTGAGAATTGTATACATTCTGGATTAGGACAAACAATACTAATATGGATTGATGGGGCTAACTACATTCAGAAGAGCTCAGACGGACCTGATACAGCGGTCCAGGTCCAGTCCCAGCTAAACGTAGCTAGGACTGGATCTGGAGGCTCCACAGTTGGTCCAGCGAAGTGTTTTGAAAAAACATGTCCTTTTTAACCTTTTCATGAGAGAAATTCTGCTGACCACAAGCACCCACCTCTTGCACTTGTCCTGGTCTGGTCCTGGTCTGGTCCTGGTCTGGTTCGATGGTGTGGTTTAACGAACAGGTTGAATGTTACTGCTTTCATATAGTCCTTTTCAGAGTATCTGAAATCGCTCCCACAAGCACCATAACTGCAGTGTTTTGTTGTCACCATGATTTAATGATTTAGCCCAAATAAATACACACGCGTATGTGGAGAACACAGTAGAACTCAACGGAGTCGGACAGAGTTTGTCCGAAACATGCACGCATGCGCAGTCATTGGAACTATTTTTAGCACATTTCGGAAACCGGACAGTGCCCTATGCTAACCCATGAGGCGCAGTAGACGTTTTCATGTGCGTTAATATAAGATAAACTTTATTGATCTTACAACGACACGTTTGTCTTTAGTAGTAAGTAAGTACTTTAGTTCATCTGCATCGACCTCGTCACATGGTTTTAACCCGAGTTATTTTCTACAATCTCCATAAAAACTAAAGTAAACGTAAAGAGTGGCTCAGAAACGTTGTTCCTCAGTCCTGATGTAAATACTGCCAAAGGGACAGCATTCCTTTAGTTATAGATACTTTATTGATCCCAGCAGAAACACGTCCATGAACACATAAGTACATACATCATAAACATTTCTAACTAACTACCAAACAATAGTGCATAGTATGAACTCCTACATGTTTGTTGTACAGTCTGACAGCTGATTGATCTTGTCTGTTGCAGTGTGCTCCGCAGACTCCTGCAGCCCTGTGTCCGTGGCAGACTTCCTCTCAGACCTCCGTCGTGTTTACAGCTGGAAGATCTCGGCTCCTCCCAGGACCTCAGTGAGACTAGACCCTGGAGGCCGAGGCCTGTCCAGGGGCCCCCAGCCCTGTGCAGACGGCCTGCAGCTCTCTGTGTCCACGTCCCTGGGCGGCGAGGAGCAGGCGTTCTGCAGGGGGGGGCCACTCTCGGCGCTGCAGGTGAAGGATGGAGCCGTCCTGAAGATTACAGTGGATCCACTGACCTCAGTGGGACCAGGACTGTTCTCAGCCGAGCCTCTGAGTGAGTCTCTGAACGTTTACCATCAACACAATCTGGTTTTATTCTAAAGTTTACCCTGAGCTTTGTCTTCAAAGCGTTGGGGATGGACGGACACACACACGGACACACACACGGACACACACACACGGACACACACACACGGACACACACACACGGACACACACACACGGACACACACACACGGACACACACACACGGACACACACACACGGACACACACACACGGACACACACACGGACACACACACGGACACACACACGGACACGCACACACGGACACGCACACACGGACACGCACACACGGACACACACACACACACGGACACGCACACACGGACACGCACACACGGACACGCACACACGGACACGCACACACGGACACGCACACACGACACGCACACACGGACACGCACACACGGACACGCACACACGGACACACACACACGGACACGCACACACGGACACGCACACACGGACACGCACACACGGACACGCACACACGGACACACACACACGGACACGCACACACGGACACGCACACACGGACACAGACAGACACGTCCAAGAATATGGGTCCAAAGGTCCAGACGAAATGGTCTCATTATTGTGGCTCATCCGTGCACTTAAGTTTGGGTCCTGGTTCTGTCCTGGTTCTGTCCTGGTTCTGTCCTGGTTCTGTCCTGGTTCTGTCCTGGTTCTGTCCTGGTTCTGTCCTGGTTCTGTCCTGGTTCTGTCCTGGTTCTGTCCTGACTCTAAATGTAGGACTATATTTGGATTTTGCCACATCCCAAAGTGTTGGATTCACCTCTGAATAAAAATGTCAGGTTTGTTCACAACATTTGACTCTGGATCGACTCTTTATGAAACACAAATTATGTTTTTCATAAAGAGTTGATTCTGAGCCTTGTTCTGCTGAATGTCTTTATCGTCTGAAACTTTCCACTGTTTCCTTCGGTCTCGTTCCACAGAAGGACGAGTGATGGAGGTCTCAGTCAGTCCCGACACAGAGCTGGTCCTGGTCCCAAACCCGTCCGGTCCGCAGTGTGAGCTGTGCTACGGAGACGACTGCAGCGTCACCGGGACGACCATCACCGGGACGACCGGCACAGACACCGGCAAGAGTCGGGTCCAGTTCAGCTGCTCCGAGCCTCAAGACGTCTACAGCATCAAGATCAAAGGGAAAACTGGTAAAAGGAACCAGACCTGGTTTGGATCAGGGCGTAGTTTATCGTGTTGACTTAAAGCAACTGGGGGCTTTGAGTGTGGTTGAGGGGCTCAGGGGGGTGTGTATAGATCAGCATGTTCACAGTTAGCATGTTCACAGTTAGCATGTTCACAGTTAGCATGTTCACAGTTAGCATGTTCACAGTTAGCATGTTCACAGTTAGCATGTTCACAGTTAGCATGTTCACAGTTAGCATGTTCACAGTTAGCATGTTCACAGTTAGCATGTTCACCATGACTCACTCTGGTCTGGTTACAGAGTGCACGGAGAGCTCGTGCACGCCTGAAGCTGCCGCGCTTGGTCCCGATGACTTCAAAGGCTTCAAACGGACTGTGATGTGGGAGCTCAACGCTCCGCCTAAAACCAGCCTCACCCTGGACTTCCTGGACTCGGGTCTGGAGGAGACCTCTGGGTCCTGTCCCGGGGGGGTCCAGTACTTCATCAGCTCCAGTAAAACAGACGGACCCCCGAAGGAGAGCAGCTACTGCCCCACCACAACTCCATCGACTCTGAAGCTGCACCAAAGAAGCTCCGTGGTTTTGGAGGCGGCGAAAGACCAAGATCTGCCTCAGACGGTGTTCACGGTGGCGGCGCTCAGAGGTGAGTTTATGGGTTTAAAAACAGTTCTATCACGGTTTGGTCTCTTTCACTTTTCTGTCTGAAAAAGTTGTGACAAAGAAAGGACCCTCAGCCAGTCAGCTCTCGGCCAGTCAGCTCTCGGCCAATCAGCTCTCGGCCAGTCAGCTCTCGGCCAGTCAGCTCTCGGCCAATCAGCTCTCGGCCAGTCAGCTCTCGGCCAATAGCGTCACATTTGAATTAGTATAGTTATCTTATCTTGTGCGCTCCTCATCCGACTGTTTTGTTGTTATAGTTTTTATTGCATTTTAAGGATACATTTTACCCCCATTTCCCGACTGTGGGACCAATAAATGATCTGTTAATCTTAAAATAATGACTCACAGACTCGTTCTTACAAAGAAGCAGAAAATGTTATTGTCAGGTTTGTTCACAACATTTGACTCTGAACAACGTTGACTGTTTATGAAACCAAAAGGCTATAGGTTCCTCCCAACCTGGCGCCCCGGTGTATTACGTGTTATTTCAGCGTTTTAAATGTTTGTTGTTGTTATTTACTGATTACATTAGTACTTCCTGTAAAATGTGTTTAGTTCCTGTATTTGTTCTTCTTCACTGTTGGTGTGAGGCAGGGACGTGCGGTGAGGTTTGTGATTGGGGAGGCACTGACTTTAAAAGTCAGATTTACAATCATTATTCAAATAAAATAGCATTTAATCACCAATGCAATGACATCCACAAACTTTATATACTGTAAAGATAAGAGAACCAGCTTCTTTTAATAATCTCACAACAAATCTAGCTGCTGACTCTGCTCCGCATCAAACAACATCTTTAAGAAGCGCAGGTGCGAGAGACGCGAGGAGAGAGAGACGCGAGGAGAGAGGAGCAGAGAGACGGAGACGCGAGGAGCAGAGAGAGACGGAGACGCGAGGAGAGAGAGACGCGAGGAGAGAGGAGCAGAGAGAGACAGAGAGGAGCAGAGAGACGGAGACGCGAGGAGCAGAGAGAGACGGAGACGCGAGGAGAGAGAGACGCGAGGAGAGAGGAGCAGAGAGAGACAGAGAGGAGCAGAGAGACGGAGACGCGAGGAGCAGAGAGAGACGGAGACGCGAGGAGAGAGGAGCAGAGAGAGACAGAGAGGAGCAGAGAGACGGAGACGCGAGGAGAGAGAGAGACGGAGACGCGAGGAGAGAGAGACGCGAGGAGAGAGGAGCAGAGAGAGACAGAGAGGAGCAGAGAGACGCGAGGAGAGAGGAGCAGAGAGACGGAGAGGAGCAGAGAGACGGAGACGCGAGGAGAGAGAGACGCGAGGAGAGAGGAGCAGAGAGAGACAGAGAGGAGCAGAGAGACGGAGACGCGAGGAGCAGAGAGAGACGGAGACGCGAGGAGAGAGAGACGCGAGGAACATAAACAATAATTTAAACAAGTTGCAGAACTCTTGAGCAGTGTTTGAATCAGTGTTTTTCGGAAAAGCACTACTTTGCCGGTATCTGTCAATGTTCAACATAAAACACAGATTAACAAACTCCTCCCCCGCAGCCGGACTAACCTCGTAAGTCCAGTGGTGGTCTCCCAGTCTATATTAATTCTTTCTTTGTTTGAAAGTCCAATTGAGAAAAAAAATCTTCATTCAAATCATCCATTTTCCAGCAAAAGAAATAGCATTTTGGGCTGATTGTTTGTTAGCAACTCTGGTATGAACTTTATGCTCACTATCACCCCTAGCGGTGAGGCACAGATACCGCCTGCCTCACGCCAAGCTTTTTCCTTGTGTGTTCATCTACGATCAAAAGACTTAAACTAAATATAAATTGTACACACATACGTGCAATACACTACTAAACACTAAGAGGAGTTTAAAAAATGTTTTTAAAGCAGGATATTTGAAACAAACGGTGATATATCAACTGCACGAGCTGAGTGCACTCAGACACACACACACACACTGTGAGGGAGCGGTCTGAGGTGAGGCACGCAGGAGCGCTGCCTCACCTCGTCTCTTTGAATAGGAATAACGGGATTTCGGCGATTTTGACTTCAGAAATGATCAAAACTGATGGGAACCGTGCCGAATATACATTAAAAGCATAGGACAGTGGATATAAATTATATATTTAAACTAAAATAATTATTAGTTTCCAATAATGGCAGGTGAGGCTCTGCCTCCCCTGCCTCCCCTGACTGCACGTCCCTGGTGTGAGGCTGTACGTTGTTTAAAGTTACTAAATGTAACCTCCACCATCTTGTGTCCAGGAAGCCGGTTGCTCTTGGTGACCACGGACCCCGGCACGAAGGTGACCATCAGCCGTGACCCTGACGGCGCCGACTGTGAAGTGTGCGTCAAAGACTCCAAACCGCCGTGTTCGCACAAACAGGTTCTGAGAGACCCTCGTAACGTGTCCGTGGAGTTCAGCTGCAACACGCCGCAGGAGCACTTCACCGTCGACATCATCCGCGACGTCGGTCAGTCACGTTCATCACAATGTTTACTATTTACAGTTGGTAGAGCATTGGTCTTTGAGCCTGAAGGTTGTGGGTTCGAGTCTACCACAAGACTGTCTCCACCGACTCTCACTGATGTCTGCTGTGGCTGTGTCCTTGGGCAAGACACTTAACCTCTGGGAACAGCAGGTGCCACAGTGGGGCGGCTGCGGCTGTAAAGTGCCAAACTGTGGTGTCCTTGGGCAAGACACTTCCCCAGAATGAGTCTGGTGTGTGTGTGAATGGTTGGTGGTGGTGGGAGGGGCCGATGGCACAGACTGGTTGCCTCGCTTCTGTCAGTGTGCCCCAGGGCAGCTGTGGCCACAGTAGTTCATCACCACTGTGTTTGGAGAGAGAGAATAATAATGTGAAGAGACTTTGAGAGTCTGAAAAACACTTTATGAAGAAGGATTATCATCATTAATATTATAAACAAGGAAAGCTCTCTACATTGTGAGGAAAAACAAACTTATTTTGTGTGAGAAAAGGTCTCCCTCATACCCCGGGGCCGCATTCATGGGTTCTATTCTCATTCAGCGTTTCCTTAAATGAGGCTTTACTTTCACTGAGATAAGGTTTGATGGATCATAGCATCAGAACGATACGATGATAACTGACTCAAACAGGCCATTAGAGCCCAACCACATGGAGCCCAACCACATGGAGCCCAACCACATGGAGCCAAACCACATGGAGCCCAACCACATGGAGCCAAACCACATGGAGCCCAACCACATGGAGCCCAACCACATGGAGCCAAACCACATGGAGCCAAACCACATGGAGCCCAACCACATGGAGCCAAACCACATGGAGCCCAACCACATGGAGCCCAACCACATGGAGCCAAACCACATGGAGCCCAACCACATGGAGCCAAACCACATGGAGCCAAACCACATGGAGCCAAACCACATGGAGCCAAACCACATGGAGCCCAACCACATGGAGCCCAACCACATGGAGCCAAACCACATGGAGCCCAACCACATGGAGCCCAACCACATGGAGCCCAACCACATGGAGCCCAACCACATGGAGCCAAACCACATGGAGCCCAACCACATGGAGCCCAACCACATGGAGCCCAACCACATGGAGCCCAACCACATGGAGCCCAACCACATGGAGCCCAACCACATAGAGCCAAACCACATGGAGCCAAACCACATAGAGCCAAACCACATGGAGCCAAACCACATAGAGCCAAACCACGTGTGTAGCAATGACTAAGCAGCCGAAGAGCCAATATGGCGCTGGTCTGTCTCTGCTGACTCCGTTCTCTTCTTCAGCTTCAGCAAGAAAATAATCTAGCGTGTTAGCATTGTCCATCTGTATACAGCCTTTTCTTTGGACCTTAAAACACAGATGCTTTAATACAAAAAACTACATAAGTTTGTCGTTGTCTGCTCGGGCAACATGTGTCTCTGTGTGACATGTATAATCAGGACACAGAAGAACAAAGGCTAAGTGTTAGCTAGTGTATAAATAGTTGCATAATCTCTTTTCCTCCGTCCTCAGACTGTGCAAAGACGTCTTGCTCCAGCGACATCCTCTACACAAAGTTCTCCAAGTTCCGGGAGTTTAACCGCACTTTCATCTGGGACCTGAAGGTGGTGCCGACCCAGGCCTTCCAGCTGGACTTCCCTGAGCCCGGGATGAGACAGATCCAGAACAAACACTCGTGTCCGGACGAGCACACGTACTCCGTGGTCACGTACCTGCGAACGGGACCGGCCACCATCGGGACGTTCTGTAAGGGCGGCGCCGTGTCCTCTGTCCTGGTGCGCTACAAGGGACGCATGTTTCTGGAGGTCCCTGCAAACACTGAACTGGACCCGGTGGACTTCAAGTTCAGCCACGGACCTCAGACGGACAGTAAGACTTTTAGAATCGTTTGGAATCATGTTGGCATAGAACAGTATAATGTTTCTAATCTGTGAATGCTTTCATCAAGCAAGTATATAAAACTTCTTTATATTGTGTTTCCTGCTGGATTTAGCCTCATCACAGTCAGACTGGATTTAGCCTCATCACAGTCGGACTGGATTTAGACTCATCACAGTCGGACTGGATTTAGACTCATCACAGTCAGACTGGATTTAGCCTCACCACAGTCAGACTGGATTTAGCCTCACCACAGTCAGACTGGATTTAGCCTCATCACAGTCAGACTGGATTTAGCCTCACCACAGTCAGACTGGATTTAGCCTCATCACAGTCAGACTGGATTTAGACTCATCACAGTCAGACTGGATTTAGCCTCACCACAGTCAGACTGGATTTAGACTCATCACAGTCAGACTGGATTTAGACTCATCACAGTCAGACTGGATTTAGCCTCACCACAGTCGGACTGGATTTAGCCTCACCACAGTCGGACTGGATTTAGCCTCATCACAGTCGGACTGGATTTAGCCTCACCACAGTCAGACTGGATTTAGCCTCATCACAGTCAGACTGGATTTAGCCTCATCACAGTCAGACTGGATTTAGACTCATCACAGTTCCTACTTAATAAGACGTTCGTGTTGCTGTTTCTTGTCGTCCCTTATACTTTAATATTATAAGGGACGACATAATTTAATGTTTAGAATGTGAATAATAATCTCAGGATCAAGTGTAATGGCCAAAATGGACAGGAAATTTAAAAAAGTTAAAAATAAAGCTAAATGTACCTGTTTAGTTGTAGTTTTGAAGCTGAAGAATTATGAACGGGACTCATTACGCTAACCCTAAAACTGACGCTAATGCTAGCCCTTATCCCTAACCCCAGCCTTTTCCAACTGTTCCAACCTAACCAAAGTTTCTGACAAAATGTGATTGACTTCAGGACAAATGAAGATTATTGTTTATATTAAACTATATTTTCTTCTTCTTCAGTGGTGGCCATTCTCAAAGTGAACCTTCCCAGAGGAGTTTCCAACACTACTTTCATGACCCCCAACTTTCCAGGAGATTTTCCGGACCAACAGGAAATGCTCTGGGATTTTGTTGTTCCCGGGATGCACAACTACAGCATGACTTTCACCGACTTCACTCTCCCAGAATGCATCAGTGATGACGTCGTTGTGGAGTATCTCAAACCGAATAAAAAGAAAAGTAAATCTGATCTGAGCGACTCGCAGCCGAAGCATCAACAAGGAAACTTCCAACTGGTCCTAAAGAACTGCGCCACCAACCGGACCCTGCAGGGACTGGCCCTGGACTTCACTGTGTCCCTGATGAGGAGCGGGCACCCAGGTACACACTACACACTATACACACACTACACACTATACACTATACACACACTATACACTATACACACACTACACACACTATACACACACTACACACACTATACACACACTACACACTATACACTATACACACACTATACACTATACACACACTACACACACTATACACACACTACACACACTATACACACACTACACACATACACTACACACTATACACACACTACACACTATACACACACTACACACACTATACACACACTACACACACTATACACACACTACACACACTATACACACACTACACACACACACTACACACTATACACACACTACACACTATACACACACTATACACTATACACACACTACACACTATACACACACTACACACTATACACACACTATACACTATACACACACTACACACACTATACACACACATATACACACATATACACACATATACACACACACTATACACACACTACACACTATACACACACTATACACACACTACACACTATACACACACATATACACACATATACACACACATATACACACATATATACACACATATACACACACATATACACACACATATACACACATATACACACTACACACTATACACACACTACACACTATACACACACTACACACATATACACACATATACACACATATACACACACATATACACACATATATACACACATATACACACTACACACTATACACACACTACACACTATACACACACTACACACTATACACACACTATATACACACACTACACACTATACACACACTATACACACTATACACACACTACACACTATACACACACTACACACTATACACACACTACACACTATACACACACTACACACACTACACACTATACACACACTACACACACTACACACTATACACACACTACACACACATATACACACACTACACACACTATACACACACTACACACTATACACACACTACACACTATACACACACTACACACTATACACACACTACACACATATACACACACTACACACTATACACACACTACACACATATACACACACTACACACTATACACACACTACACACACATATACACACACTACACACTATACACACACTACACACTATACACACACTACACACTATACACACACACTACACACTATACACACACTACACACATATACACACACTACACACACTACACACACACTATACACACACTACACACTATACACACACTACACACTATACACACACTACACACACTACACACACTACACACACTATACACACACTACACACTATACACACACTACACACTACACACACTACACACTTTACACACACTACACACTGTACACACACTACACACTATACACACACTACACACTATACACACACTACACACACTACACACACTATACACACACTACACACTATACACACACTACACACTATACACACACTACACACTATACACACACTACACACTGTACACACACTACACACTGTACACACACTACACACATATACACACACACTGTACACACACTACACACATATACACACACTACACACTATACACACACTACACACTATACACACACTACACACACTATACACACACTACACACATATACACACACATACACACACTATACACACACTACACACTATACACACACTACACACATATACACACACTACACACACATATACACACACTACACACACTACACACTATACACTACACACATATACACACACTATACACACATATACACACAATACACACACTACACACACTATACACACACTACACACATATATACACAATACACACACATACACACACACATACACACACAATACACACACATATACACACATATACACACTACACACTATACACACACTACACACTATACACACACTATACACACACTACACACATACACACACTACACACATATACACACACTACACACATATACACACACTACACACATATACACACACTACACACAATACACACACATATACACACATATACACACATATACACACATATACACACCTATACACACACTACACACTATACACACTATACACACACTACACACATATACACACACTACACACACACTACACACATATACACACACTACACACATATACACACACTACACACACATATACACACACTACACACACATATACACACACTACACACTATACACACACTACACACACTATACACACACTACACACATATACACACACTACACACACTACACACACTACACACACTATACACACACTACACACATATACACACACTACACACATATACACACACTACACACATATACACACACTACACACAATACACACACATATACACACATATACACACATATACACACATATACACACACTACACACTATACACACTATACACACACTACACACTATACACACTATACACACACTACACACATATACACACACTACACACACACTACACACATATACACACACTACACACATATACACACACTACACACACATATACACACACTACACACATATACACACTACACACATATACACACACTACACACATATACACACACTACACACATATACACACACTACACACAATACACACACATATACACACATATACACACATATACACACATATACACACATATACACACATATACACACACTACACACACACATATACACACACTACACACATATACACACACTACACACACACATATACACACACTACACACCATATACACACACTACACACACATATACACACACTACACACATATACACACACTACACACTATACACACACTACACACACATATACACACACTACACACATATACACACACTACACACACATATACACACACTACATACACACACTACACACACATACACACACTACACACACATACACACACTACACACTATACACACACTACACACACTATACACACACTACACACATATACACACACTACACACATATACACACACTACACACACATATACACACATATACACACACTACACACTATACACACACTACACACACTATACACACACTACACACATATACACACACTACACACATATACACACACTACACACATATACACACACTACACACATATATACACAATACACACAATACACACAATACATACACACAATACACACACATATACACACACAATACACACACATATACACACACAATACACACACTACACACTATACACACATATACACACACTACACACACTATACACACACTACACACTATACACACACTACACACTATACACACACTACACACTATACACACACTACACACTATACACACACTACACACACATACACACACTACACACATATATACACACTACACACATATACACACACTACACACATATACACACACTACACACATATACACACACTACACACAATACACACACTACACACAATACACACACATATACACACACAATACACACACATATACACACATATACACACCTATACACACACTACACACTATACACACTATACACACACTACACACATATACACACACTACACACATATACACACACTACACACACTACACACATATACACACACATATACACACACTACACACACTACACACATATACACACACTACACACACACTACACACATATACACACACTACACACATATACACACACTACACACACATATACACACACTACACAATATACACACACTACACACTATACACACACTACACACACTATACACACACTACACACACTATACACACACTACACACATATACACACACTACACACATATACACACACTACACACACATATACACACACTACACACATATACACACACTACACACATATACACACACTACACACATATACACACACTACACACACATATACACACACTACACACATATACACACACTACACACTATACACACACTACACACACTATACACACACTACACACATATACACACACTACACACACATATACACACAATACACACACATATACACACACAATACACACACTACACACTATACACACACATATACACACACTACACACACTATACACACACTACACACACTATACACACATACACACACTACACACATATATACACAATACACACACACATACACACTACACACTATACACACACTACACACTATACACACACTACACACACATATACACACTACACACACAATACACACACATATACACACCACACACATATACACACACTACACACATATACACACACTACACATATACACACTACACACACTACACATATACACACTACACACATATACACACACTATACACAATACACACACTATACACAATACACACAATACACACACTACACACACTACACACATATACACACACTACACACGCATACACACACTACACACGCATACACACACTACACACACATACACACACTACACGCATACACACACATACACACACTACACACACTACACACATATACACACAATACACACAATACACACACACATACACACACTACACACACACACTACACACAATACACACACTACACACACTACACACACCACACACACACATACACACACTACACACACACACTACACACATATACACACTACACACACATACACACACATATACACACAATACACACACTACACACATATACACACACTACACACACATATACACACACTACACACACTACACACAATATACACACAATACACACACATATACACACATATACACATATACACACACATACACACACTACACACACTACACACACATATACACACATATACACATATACACACACTACACACATATACACACTACACACACTATACACACTACACACACTACACACATATACACACACTACACACGCATACACACACTACACACGCATACACACACACAATACACACACATATACACACATATACACACATATACACACTACACACACATACACACACTACACACACACACTACACACAATACACACACTACACACACTACACACACCACACACACATATACACACACTACACACACTACACACATATACACACTACACACACATACACACACATATACACACACTACACACAATACACACACTACACACACTACACACAATATACACACAATACACACACATATACACACATATACACATATACACACACATACACACACTACACACATATACACACTACACACACTACACACACTACACACATATACACACACTACACACGCATACACACACTACACACGCATACACACACTACACACGCATACACACACTACACACATATACACACACAATATACACACCACACACATATACACACACTACACACATATACACACACTACACATATACACACTACACACATATACACACACTACACACATATACACACACTACACACATATACACACACTACACACATATACACACACTACACACACATACACACACTACACACACATACACACATATACACACACTACACACTATACACACACTACACACATATACACACAATACACACATATATACACACATATACACACACTACACACATATACACACAATACACATATACACACACAATACACACACATATACACACACATATACACATATACACACACTACACACATATACACACAATACACACATATATACACACATATACACACACTACACACATATACACACAATACACATATACACACACAATACACACACATATACACACACATATACACATATACACACAATACACATATAGACACACAATACACACACAATACACACACATATACACACACATACACACATACACACACTACACACATATACACACTACACACCCTACACACACTACACACACTACACACATATACACACACTACACACGCATACACACACTACACACTATACACACACTACACACATATACACACACTACACACACATATACACACACTACACACACAATACACATATACACACACAATACACACACATATACACACACATATACACACACATACACACTACACACATATACACACACATACACACACTACACACATATACACACACATACACACACTACACACATATACACACACTACACACACATATACACACACTACACACATACACACATATACACACACTACACGCATATACACACACTACACACATATACACACACTACACACACATATACACACATATACACACACTACACACATATACACACAATACACATATACACACACAATACACACACATATACACACACATATACACATATACACACAATACACATATACACACACAATACACACACAATACACACACATATACACACACATACACACATACACACACTACACACATATACACACTACACACCCTACACACACTACACACACTACACACATATACACACACTACACACGCATACACACACTACACACTATACACACACTACACACATATACACACACTACACACACATATACACACACTACACACACAATACACATATACACACACAATACACACACATATACACACACATATACACACACATACACACTACACACATATACACACACATACACACACTACACACATATACACACACATACACACACTACACACACTACACACACATATACACACACTACACACATACACACATATACACACACTACACGCATATACACACACTACACACATATACACACACTACACACACATATACACACATATACACACACTACACACACATACACACACTACACACACATATACACACACTACACAATATACACACACTACACACTATACACACACACTACACACATATACACACACTACACACATATACACACATATACACACATATACACACATATATACACACATATATACACACATATACACACACTACACACATATACACACACTACACACATATACACACACTACACACATATACACACACTACACACATATACACACACAATATACACACATTACACACATATACACACACTACACACATATACACACAATACACACATATACACACAATACACACATATACACACAATACACACATATATACACACATATACACACACTACACACATATACACACACTACACACATATACACACACTACACACATATATACACAATACACACATATACACACACAATATACACACATATACACACACTACACACACATATACACACACATATACACACACTACACACATATACACACACTACACACATATACACACACAATATACACACATATACACACACATATACACACACTACACACACATATACACACACTACACACATATACACACACAATATACACACATATACACACACATATACACACACTACACACACTACACGCATACACACACATACACACACTACACACTACACACATATACACACACTACACACATATACACACACTACACACATATACACACACTACACACATATACACACACTACACACATATACACACACAATATACACACATATACACACACTACACACATATACACACACTACACACATATACACACACTACACACACATATACACACACTACACACATATACACACACAATATACACACATATACACACACATATACACACACTACACACATATACACACACTACACACATATACACACAATACACACATATACACACAATACACACATATACACACACTACACACATATACACACACATATACACACATATATACACACATATATACACACATATACACACACATATACACACATATACACACACATATACACACACTACACACATATACACACACTACACACATATATACACAATACACACATATACACACACAATATACACACATATACACACACTACACACACACTACACACATATACACACACAATATACACACATATACACACACTACACACACATATACACACACTACACACATATACACACACAATATACACACATATACACACACTACACACACTACACGCATACACACTACACACACTACACACACTACACACACTACACACACATATACACACAATACACACAATACACACATATACACACTACACACACATATACACACTACACACACATATACACACTACACACACATATACACACTACACACACATACACACACAATACACACACAATACACACACAATACACACACAATACACACACAATACACACACAATACACACACAATACACACACAAATACACACACAAATACACACACAATACACACACAAATACACACACAATACACACACATATACACACAAATACACATACACATATACACATATATATACACACACATACACACAATACACACATATACACACATATGTACACAAAATACACACACACATATATATACACATATACACACACATATACACATACACATACTCACCCTGGACTTTGTGTCCCTGATGAGGAGCGGACACCCAGGTACACACAACACACACATACATTCAAATACACACAACACACACATGTGTAAACATGTAACATGTAAACCATGGAGCGTGATCTGAGTCTAATGTTCTTCAAACGTGTGTGTTCAGTCCTGTGCAGCGTGGACCTGTCCCAGCGTCGGTCTCTGTCGCTGCAGATCCAGAAAGTTGGTTCTGATCCGTTCTGTGAGATCAGTATCGACTCCAAACTACAAACACAGATAAATATTGAGTCTGGAACCAAAGCTGCGCTGTCGTTTCTGGAGTGTCCCAACAAAGACCTGCAGCTGACGGCCACACAGGACATCGGTGAGACTTTAGCATCTTTATTAGCATGTTTACGGTCTTCATTAGCATGTTTACGGTCTTCATTAGCATGTTTACGGTCTTCATTAGCATGTTTACGGTCTTCATTAGCATGTTTACGGTCTTCATTAGCATGTTTACGGTCTTCATTAGCATGTTTACAGTCTTCATTAGCATGTTTACAGTCTTCATTAGCATGTTTACGGTCTTCATTAGCATGTTTACGGTCTTCATTAGCATGTTTACGGTCTTCATTAGCATGTTTACGGTCTTCATTAGCATGTTTACGGTCTTCATTAGCATGTTTACAGTCTTCATTAGCATGTTTACAGTCTTCATTAGCATGTTTACAGTCTTCATTAGCATGTTTACAGTCTTCATTAGCATGTTTACAGTCTTCATTAGCATGTTTACAGTCTTCATTAGCATGTTTTGTCTTTATTAGCATGTTTACAGTCTTCATTAGCATGTTTTGTCTTTATTAGCATGTTTACGGCCTTCATTAGCATGTTTACAGTCTTTATTAGCTCCTGTCAATCATCACTGAAGCAGAACAAATGTGGTTCAGAGAAAGGTTTCATTATATTTATGAAGTGTGTGTAGAGCAGTGAATACGAGTGTGTTGCTCATTTCCAGCTGTCGTCCCAGAGTCGCACTCACAAACACACAACTCTCACCTTTTCAACATGTTTTAGTGTTTTAGTGTTTTTACGCAGACATGGAGAGAACATTCAAACTCCACACAGAAAGGTCCTGGAATCGAACCCAGGACCTTCTCGCTCTGAAGCTCTGCTCCCAGAGACAGATTCTCACTGTGTCGTTATAGATGAAACCATTTTTATGTTTAAAATCACATATAAAGCAATCTACCAAGTGGAGCCCAGGTCGCTGTATTGACCCCGTGCATGTGACGTCCTGGCCACGCCCACTCTCCGCCCACTCTCCGCCCACTCTCCGCCCACTCTCCGCCCACTCTCCGCCCACTCTCCATGACAGACGCAGAAGTCTAACTGGAGCCTACGGAAACCTGACCAAAACAACCTGTTTCAGCGCATTACAGCCACAACTGTGACATTTTGCAGTGCGGTCGATTATAACAGACACGGACATAAGCTTTTTTATCTGATACCTGCTCGTCATGACGACAGAAGACGACGATGGCGGCAATCAACCAAAAGGACTGGGACCCAAGTACTCCCTAATCTGCACTGAACACTTTTTACAAGATAAAGCAATCACAAGTTTGTATTTATTTTATTTCCATTAATGTGGAGGACAATGACACACGTCAAACGTGTCTCTTACTACTGTCCTGTATGTGCGCTGCAACATTGACATTTTTATCTTTTAAGTCAGTGTCTCCCAAAGTGGGGTCCGCGGCCCCCAGGTGGGCCGCGAGGGTACTGCAGGGGGGCCGCGGGAGGTCATAAAAAAAAAATATATATATATATAATTCCATCCATCCATCCATCCATCCATTTTCTTCCCTTTAATCCATTTCTGGGTCAGGGGGGTGGCAGTCAGAGATGCCACCCAAGTCTCATAGCACCAGCCCCTCACTGACCCTCTGCAGGTGGTGAGTCCACAGGAGGACGGCTGCTCTCTGAGTGTGAGCATAGCCTTGATCTTTCAGTGGGGGCCAAAGGCCAATGCTCTACCAACTGAGCTACTGTCGCCACATATATATATATATATATAATTATTTAACGTTAAATTTATAATGTTTTGTTTGTAATATTAAAATATTTGTGCTCATTATTTGACTTGAATAATCCACTGTAATCATTTTTGTATTACAATGTTTGTAGCAGAGGCTATTTCCCCAAAATAAAATAACCAGAAGAGCCTATTCTTAATGTTGTCTTCTTGGTTATTATTTTGGGGGGCCACTCAGACCCGTCAGATTTTTAAGGGGGCCTCGGTGTTACTGAGTTTGGGAATGGCTGTTTTAAATCAATTGCGTGTTTCACTATTTTCCTCTGCGTCAGTACGTGTCATGTTTGGCTGTAGACAGAAAAGCCACAGAAAAGTGGACTATTGCTAATGCTACCAGCAAAATGTACATATAAATGTGCTCCAGTGTGAGGGGATTGTTAACGATAATGATAAAGATCATGTAGGGTGAATTTGGGCAAAAACAGACATTTTATTTAATCGATAAAATGGACTGTGGGGAGAAGGTACGGGTCAACATCCAGTTCGGCGATCCTTAACTTCTCCAAATACACTCTTTGTGAGCCCTGACCTGACGTCCTACTTCCACCTATAACGTAATCCAACATGTGCTTGAAGCAGCCACTTCTCGATTTAGGAGGAAGCTCAGTTTTTAAGAGTTGTGTCCGTTTTGCTCTCGCAGCAATGCTAATGCTAATGCTAATGCTAGTTTCCAATACTTCCGCCGTAAGCTCATTCACAATCACTTGACTGGATGACGTTGATGCATCTGGTCAATAGAAACTGTCCTGGTTTGAGGATGTAGGATGAAACATTTCTGTCTCTGATGATGCAGTGAATGGATTTAAGTGAATCAATGAATTATAACATCTATTATTGGAATTGATTTTAATTAAACCATATTTTAAAATGTCCCTAATTTGTTTTCTTCAAATGTCTCTATTCACATAAACATTCACAGTTAAACCCGTCTGTTCCCAGAATGCATCTCGACCTCTTGCCTCCTCTTCGCCCCAAAGCTGGACAGCTGTTTGCCCATGGCCCTGCACAGCGCCACCTGGAGGATCAATATGGCCCAGGACCGCACCGTGGACCTGGCCTCGCCCACGGGGACCTTCTCTCAGTCTCTGCCCGGACACAACTGCAGCGGGGACGTGTCTCTGCAGCTGCGGGAGCTCCTGGGGGGGTCCCAGGGGGGGTCCATGGGGGACTTCTGCTTCACCGGCCCCATCCAGAAGGTCCAGGCTCACACCAACATCTCGGTCACGGTCAAAACTAAAGACTTTAATAAATACAAAGGGCACTTCCTCAACGTGTCGTTCAGCCCCGAGATCCCAGGTCAGTGACGCTCCTTCACTTAAAGCTGGGGTTCCTGTCTTTTACACCTCAGAAACTTTAACTTTTGTATCAAATAGTTGCCTGTCAGCAAGAAGGTCCTGAGTTCGAATCCCGGTCGGACCAGGGCCTTTCTGAGTGGAGTTTGCATGTTCTCCCCGTGTCTGCGTAGGTTTCCTCCGGGTGCTCCGGTTTCCCCTACCACAAAAAATATGTCCAATAGATCTGACATTCGCCTCCTGCACTGGCCCCTCCCATCTCTGTGTGAATGAGAGGCTTAAGGTGCGTTCAGACCAAAAGCTTCAAAAAGCTTTTGACGCGCCTGACGCCGGTGGGAGGAGCTTCTCTGTTGCCTGTGGTCAACGGTGGATTTTCCAGAGAGCAGCCTTTTATTTGTTATATAAAGTTAAATAACGTTGTCGTGGGGTTTCTACAAAACATGTCGTGCACAGACTGAGGCTGCAGTGTTTGCAGAGTTCTGTCATTTACTCCAGGAGCTGCGTACGGAGGAGTTTCGCTTTTCAGCCTCTCTCCCCTCTCCCCTCTCCCCTCTCCCCTCTCCCCTCTCCCCGCCTCTCTCTCTGCTTTCTCTCCCTTCTCCCCGCCTCTCTCTCCCTTCTCCCCTCTCCCCGTCTCTCTCTCCCCTCTCCCCGCCTCTCTCTCCCCTCTCTCTCCCCTCTCCCCGCCTCTCTCTCACCTCTCCCCACCTCTCTCTCGCCTCTCTCCCCGCCTCTCTCTCCCCTCTCCCCGCCTCTCTCTCCCCTCTCCCCGCCTCTCTCTCACCTCTCCCCACCTCTCTCTCCCCTCTCTCTCCCCGCCTCTCTCTCCCCTCTCCCCGCCTCTCTCTCCCCTCTCCCCGCCTCTCTCTCCCCTCTCCCCGCCTCCCTCTCCCCTCTCCCCGCCTCTCTCTCCCCTCTCTCCCCGCCTCTCTCTCCCCTCTCCCCGCCTCTCTCTCCCCTCTCCCCGCCTCTCTCTCCCCTCTCTCTCCGCCTCTCTCTCCCCTCTCCCCCGCCTCTCTCTCCCCTCTCCCCGCCTCTCTCTCCCCTCTCCCCGCCTCTCTCTCCCCTCTCCCCGCCTCTCTCTCCCCTCTCTCTCCCCGCCTCTCTCTCCCCTCTCCCCGCCTCTCTCTCCCCTCTCCCCGCCTCTCTCTCCCCTCTCCCCGCCTCTCTCTCCCCTCTCCCCGCCTCTCTCTCCCCTCTCCCCGCCTCTCTCTCCCCTCTCCCCCGCCTCTCTCTCCCCTCTCTCTCCCCGCCTCTCTCTCCCCTCTCCCCGCCTCTCTCTCCCCTCTCCCCGCCTCTCTCTCCCTTCTCCCCGCCTCTCTCTCCCCTCTCCCCGCCTCTCTCTCCCCTCTCTCTCCCCTCTCCCCGCCTCTCTCTCCCCTCTCCCCGCCTCTCTCTCCCTTCTCCCCGCCTCTCTCCCCCCTCTCCCCGCCTCTCTCCCCTCTCCCCGCCTCTCTCTCCCCTCTCCCCGCCTCTCTCTCCCCTCTCCCCGCCTCTCTCTCCCCTCTCCCCCGCCCCTCTCTCTCCTCCCTCTCCCCGCCTCTCTCTCCCCTTCTCCCCGCCTCTCTCCCCCCCTCTCCCCGCCTCTCCCCCCTCTCTCTCCCCTCCTCTCCCCCCCTCTCCCCCTCTCCCCCCGCCTCTCTCTCCCTCTCCCCGCCTCTCTCTCCCTCCCTCTCCGCCCGCCTCTCTCCTCCCGCCTCTCTCCCCTCTCCCCGCCTCTCTCCCTCCCCCGCCTCTCTCCCCCTCTCCCCCCGCCTCTCTCTCCCCCCCTCTCCCCGCCTCTCTCTCCCCTCTCCCCGCCTCTCTCTCCCCTCTCCCCCCTCTCCCCTCGCCCCCTCTCCCCCCGTCTCCCCTCTCCCCGCCTCTCTCTCCCGTCTCCCTCTCCCCGCCTCTCTCTCCCCTCCCCTCTCCCCGCCTCTCTCCCCTCTCTCTCCCCGCCTCTCTCTCCCCTCTCCCCGCCTCTCTCTCCCTCTCCCCCGCCTCTCTCCCTCTCCCCTCCTCCCCGCCCTCTCTCCCCCTCTCTCCCCTCCTCTCTCTCCCCTCTCTCCCCGCCTCTCTCTCCCCTCTCTCCCCGCCTCTCTCTCCCCCTCCCCGCCTCTCTCTCCCGCTCCCCGCTCTCTCCCCTCTCCCCGCCTCTCTCTCCCCTCTCCCCGCCTCTCTCTCCCCTCTCCCCGCCTCTCTCTCCCCTCTCCCCGCCTCTCTCTCCCCTCTCCCCGCCTCTCTCTCCCCTCTCCCCTCTCCCCGCCTCTCTCTCCCCTCTCCCCGCCTCTCTCTCCCCTCTCCCCCCGCCTCTCTCCCCTCTCTCCCCGCCTCTCTCCCCTCTCCCGCCTCTCTCTCCCCTCTCCCCGCCTCTCTCTCCCCTCTCTCCCGCCTCTCTCTCCCTCTCCCCGCCTCTCTCTCCCTCTCCCCGCCTCTCTCTCCCTCTCCCCGCCTCTCTCTCCCCTCTCCCCGCCTCTCTCTCCCCTCTCCCCCCGCCTCTCTCTCCCCTCTCCCCGCCTCTCTCTCCCCTCTCCCCGCCTCTCTCTCCCCTCTCCCCGCCTCTCTCTCCCCCCTCCCCGCCTCTCTCTCCCTTCTCCCCGCCTCTCTCTCCCCTCTCCCCCGCCTCTCTCTCCCCTCTCCCCCCTCTCTCTCCCCTCTCCCGCCTCTCTCTCCCCTCTCCCCGCCTCTCTCTCCCCTCTCCCCGCCTCTCTCTCCCTCTCCCCGCCTCTCTCTCCCCTCTCCCCGCCTCTCTCTCCCCTCTCCCCCGCCTCTCTCTCCCCTCCCCTCCCCGCCTCTCTCCCCTCTCCCCGCCTCTCTCCCCGCCTCTCTCTCACCTCTCCCCGCCTCTCTCTCCCCTCTCCCCGCCTCCCCCCTCTCCCCGCCTCTCTCTCCCTCTCCCCGCCTCTCTCCTCCCTCTCCCCGCCTCTCTCTCCCCGCCTCTCTCTCCCCGCCTCTCTCTCCCCTCTCCCCGCCTCTCTCTCCCCTCTCCCCGCCTCTCTCTCCCCTCTCGCCCCCCTCTCCCCGCCTCTCTCTCCCCTCTCCCCGCCTCTCTCTCCCCTCTCCCCGCCTCTCTCTCCCGCCTCTCTCTCCCTCTCTCCCGCCTCTCTCTCCCTCTCCCCGCCTCTCTCTCCCCTCTCCCCGCCTCTCTCTCCCCTCTCCCCGCCTCTCTCTCTCCCCGCCTCTCTCTCCCCCCTCTCCCGCCTCTCTCTCCCCGCCTCTCTCCCTCTCCCCGCCTCTCTCTCCCCTCTCCCCGCCTCTCTCTCCCGCCTCTCTCTCCCCGCCTCTCTCTCCCCTCTCCCCGCCTCTCTCTCCCCGCCTCTCTCTCCCGCCTCTCTCTCCCCTCTCCCCGCCTCTCTCTCCCCGCCTCTCTCTCCCCTCCCCGCCTCTCTCTCCCTCTCCCCGCCTCTCTCTCCCCGCCTCTCTCTCCCCGCCTCTCTCTCCCCGCCTCTCTCTCCCTCTCCCCGCCTCTCTCTCCCCTCTCCCCGCCTCTCTCTCCCCGCCTCTCTCTCCCGCCTCTCTCTCCCCTCCCCACCTCTCTCTCGCCTCTCCCCGCCTCTCTCTCACTCTCCCGCCTCTCCCGCCCTCTCTCTCCCCTCTCCCCGCCTCTCTCTCCCTCTCCCGCCTCTCTCTCCCTCTCCCCGCCTCTCTCTCCCCTCTCCCCGCCTCTCTCTCCCCTCTCCCCCGCCTCTCTCTCCCCTCTCCCCGCCTCTCTCTCCCCTCTCCCCGCCTCTCTCCCCCTCTCCCCACCTCTCTCTCCCCTCTCCCCGCCTCTCTCCCCTCTCCCACCTCTCTCTCCCCTCTCCCCGCCTCTCTCCCCCTCTCCCCAACTCTCTCTCCCCTCTCCCGCCTCTCTCTCCCTCTCCCCACCTCTCTCTCCCCTCTCCCAGCCTCTCTCTCCCTCTCCCCACCTCTCTCTCCCCTCTCCCCCCTCTCTCTCCCCTCTCCCCGCCTCTCTCTCACCTCTCCCCACCTCTCTCTCCCCTCTCCCCGCCTCTCTCTCCCCTCTCCCCACTCTCTCTCTCCCTCTCCTCGCCTCTCTCTCCCCTCTCCCGCCTCTCTCTCACCTCTCCCCACCTCTCTCTCCCCTCTCCCGCCATCTCTCCCCTCTCCCCGCCTCTCTCTCCCCTCTCCCCACTCTCTCTCTCCTCTTCCCCACCTCCTCTCGCCTCTCCCGCCTCTCTCTCCTCTCCCGCCTCTCTCTCCCTCTCCCCGCCTCTCTCTCCCCTCTCCCCGCCTCTCTCTCGCCTCTCCCCGCCTCTCTCTCCCCTCTCCCCACCTCTCTCTCCCCTCTCCTCGCCTCTCTCTCCCCTCTCCCCGCCTCTCTCTCCACCTCTCCCAGCCTCTCTCTCCCCTCTCCCGCCTCTCTCTCGCCTCTCCCGCCTCTCTCTCCCCTCTCCCCGCCTCTCTCTCCTCCTCTCCCACCTCTCTCTCCCCTCTCCCCGCCTCTCTCTCCCCTCTCCCCGCCTCTCTCTCTCCTCTCCCCGCCTCTCTCTCACCTCTCCCCACCTCTCTCTCCCCTCTCCCCACCTCTCTCTCCCCTCTCCCCGCCTCTCTCTCCCCTCTCCCCACCTCTCTCTCCCCTCTCCCAGCCTCTCTCTCTCCTCCTCGCCTCTCTCTCCCCTCTCCCCGCCTCTCTCTCCCGCCTCTCTCTCTCCTCTCCCCGCCTCTCTCTCCCCTCTCCCCGCCTCTCTCTCCCCTCTCCCGCCTCTCTCTCACCTCTCCCCGCCTCTCTCTCCCGCCTCTCTCTCCCCTCTCCCCGCCTCTCTCTCCCCTCTCCCCGCCTCTCTCTCCCCTCTCCCCGCCTCTCTCTCCCCTCTCCCGCCTCTCTCTCCCCTCTCCCGCCTCTCTCTCCCCGCCTCTCTCTCCCCGCCTCTCTCTCCCCTCTCCCGCCTCTCTCTCCCCTCTCCCCCGCCTCTCTCTCCCCTCTCCCCGCCTCTCTCTCACCTCTCCCCGCCTCTCTCTCCCCTCTCCCCGCCTCTCTCTCCCCTCTCCCCGCCTCTCTCTCCCCTCTCCCCGCCTCTCTCTCCCCTCTC